CAAATTCTTCATCCATAAAATGAAATGAATAAACTTACTTTTTCATAACCTGTGATTTGGACTAAGTGAGTGGATGCTTGGCATGGTTCTGTACGTAGTAGAGGTTCAATGAACATTGGCCATTGCTAACATTTTTATCATATTGTTAACATTACTATCATTATTACTTATGCAGTGTGCTCCACTCCCCTTTGAGAAGCCTGAGATTCTTAATTTCCAAAAGAAAAAGTTTGGAAATATCCCTCTGGCCCCTGACTGCATTGAGATTCTGTGTTTCATGAAGCTGAAGGCATTGTAGTTACAGATGTTCACCACATGATTAGGGAACAAAATTAATTTTAGAAACACTGAGCCTTATCAATATTGAGTAATTAGGAGACTGTAGTGCACTGAGGTACAGCCACAGAATACTGAGCCTTCTGCAATAATGGAGTGGATTTGTTGGAAATACAAAGAATTATATAGGAGAATTGCTTCTTACGATAAAATGGTGATGTGTGTGTGTGTGTGTGTGTGTGTGCGTGTGTGTGTGTATTAAAGCAATTCATTACAAATCACAATATCTACATGTTCTTTTGGTCTCTTCCTGACAAATAACACAATCTAATAATGTTTCTTGGAACTCAGTTGCCTCTATTTCTTGGGATGGATTAGATGTTGTCAAAGACCTCTATCTGTTTAATAACCTTATGTTTCATTCAGTTCTAAAACTTTCCATAGTGTTTTTAAAGAGTGTTACAAACATTAGTCTCCATTATACTTGAAATAATCTGTCTTTAACATTTTTTCACTTTGCCTCCTGTCTTCTCAATATTACCCAAATAAATTTCAAAGTCGCCACTGAATTTTAGAATCCTTTTCTGCAAACACATTTACATATTCTGAGAATTGTATTAAATTTATATTTCACTTTTTAGAAACACAAATGTTTATATGTTTTGATTCAAATGATAATTTTTATTACCAATTTTTAATATTTTTAATTATTATTTATTTTCTTTTTAGTCCTCACTGAGGATATGTTTTTATTGATTTGAAAGAGAGAAAGGGGGGAAGGAGAGAAACATCGTTGATCGGTTGCCTCCACCTGCACATGGTCCTCCCCTAGATCAAAACCGAAACCTAGAATGTTCCCTGACCTGGAATCAAACCTGCAACCATTCGGTTACAGGGCTACCTTCCAACCACTGAGCCACACTAGCCAGGACAATTGACCAATTTTTTAGACAAAAGCTTCCAGGAGCCCGGCTAGTGTGCTCAGTGGGTGAGCCTCAAGCTATGAACCAGGAGGTCATGGTTTGATTCTGGGTGAGGGCATATCCGGGCTTGTGGGCTCAATCCACAGTGGGGAGTATGTAGGAAGGCAGCTTCCTGAAATCAATAAAAATTTTTTTTTAAAAAAAAGCTCCCAGAAAATTAAAAGATTCATTGAAGCTTATTATGCTTCTTCTAATTTAACAGAATAAAAAACATTAGGAAATGGTTGAGTCAAATTACATGTAAAACCTGTAAATATGAAATAATTACATAAATATGGAAGCAATATTAGAGTGAACTATTGTTTGTTTTGACACCATTTTAGGTGGTATCTACTTGGACACATTATAGATGTTATTTGCTCTGTTTCAAATTATATTAAATCCTTATTTCAAAAGTAAGTTCCAAATTTTAGAATTTCCTGCTATTCATACAATTTCATACTAGCATAATATATGCTTTGATTAGTAGGGATGTTAGAGAAGAAAAGGAGAGGCATTTTTCCAAAAAGGGTCCATATTTGAGAATACTTACAGATTTCACTGGTCTTTCTGCCAAGCTGCTGCCAATCATTTGAATTCAGTTTTCAAAAAATATATTTTTATTGATTTCAGAGAGCAGGGAAGAGGGAGAGAGAGATAAACACATCAATGATGAAAGAATCATTGATGGGCTGCCTCCTGTACGCCCCCCACTGGGGATCAAGCCCACAACTTGGGATGTGCTCTGACCAGGAATGGAACCGTGACCTCTGGTTTGTAGGCTAAGGCTCAACCACCGAGCCACATCAGCCGGGATGAATTCAATTTTTAATTACTTAAATACACACATTAATTAAGAAAATTGGATAATTTAACTAAAAGTTCATATCATTTTATAATGTGACACATACTATTTTCCCCCAAATATGTTCAGGACAAATTTAAGGAAGAAAGGTTGCTTTTATAGAAAAGGGGAAAAAAATCTTAAATTCACAATTGTATGCAGGGTTGCCTCTAGCCATAGACAATGCTAGAGTTTTATGCTTTACAGCTGCAAAAATAATTACATGAACGTTATCTAAGCAACAATCTTTAATGGATTACATTTTGTTAGCTTTTCATTATATACTGAAAAACTCAAATAACAGTAAATTGAAAAGAAATTTTGATTTATCTGACTTAGACCTTTGATATTTTTGAAAGACATTTTATTATCCATTGGTTTATTTGAGATCTAATCTCAATTTGTAAAGAAGACATAGAGTTACCATTGGTTTTAACTTTACTAAGTAGAAACATTGTGCAAATTATTTATTTTTACTTGAAAATTATTTTACTTTTGTATTTTTCAAGGGCCTTAAAATTTTTCAGTGGTGATATCTTAGGTTAATAATGTGATACAGCAAAGATACACACTGTAAAAGTCAGTCTATTTGCTTTTTGTATAAACCTTTGTTTTATTTGTGGTGCATTTGTAACATCTAATTGTAATATAAATTTATAAATAGTGAAAGTCTTCCTACTCTTTTTTTTTATTACACGGTAACAGCAGTTCAACTAGGTTAACCTTTGTGTCTATGTATTTTATTAATAATGTTCAGTGTTGAAGTTAGAATTACTAGTGTTGTACAGTCATATTTGCTGTTCTTCCTTTTACTTTTCTTTCCAAAACCGAGCACATAAGCCATCTCTTTGAAGTAGTACTTTCCCAGTGTTCACATGGTCATAGTGTACCCAAGTTTTCTCAATATATGACAAAAGTGCTTTTGTCTGAGGGGATGCTAAGGCTTAACAGATTATGCACACACTTAGTTGGTATAGAGGATGGAAAAGTAGAGAATTCCAAGAGAAAAATATACAATTTTGTCAGCCTCTAAGTTTGTTCGAGGTTTTGAAACCAAAGTTTAAGTGACTTTTGAAATAACAGTTTCAGCACAAATTTTTCACAGTATTGTACATTTTCCATGAAAATATTTTTAAATGTCATTGGGTGGAAAGACACCCATTCCAGTACAAAAATTATAGTATCAAATATTCAATTTAATAGATTTTAGTAGATTTTAAAATGCATCACTTCAAATCTGTGCATTTAACATAGTAACAAACATTTTAAGTACTATCTCAAATTAGATTACTAAATTTATTCAGATTTTATTGTACACTGGGGAATAATGGAGTAAGAGAAAGATACTAACATGTTTAGACTTTGTATTGAGGTATGTATCTCCCTGCCTGCTTTGTAAATAGGGAGAGGTTGTGTTCAAGATTGCCTACCTAGTAAACAACAGAGTTATGGTATAACTGATGCCAAATCATTCATGATTAATTTAATTTAGTTATTTTTATTTTATTTTTGTTTAATCCTCACCTGAGGATATGTTTAGAGAGAGGAAGGGGGAGAGGGAACATAAATGTGAGAGAGAAACATCCATCGGTGGCTGCCTCCCATACATGCCCCGACTAGGGCTGGAACCTGCATCCCAGGTATGTGCCCTGACCTGGGATCGAACCCACAACTTTTTTTTAAAAATATATTTTATTGAGTTTTTACAGAGAGGAAAGGAGAGAGATAGAGAGTTAGAAACATCGATGAGAGAGAAACATCGACCAGCTGCATCCTGCACACTCCCCACTGGGGATGTGCCCGCAACCAAGGTACATGCCCTTGACCGGAATCGAACCTGGGACCTTTCAGTCCGCAGGCCGACGCTCTATCCACTGAGCCAAACTGGTTTCGGCGAACCCACAACTTTTTAGTGTATGTGATATTGCTCCCACCAACTGAGCCACTCAGCCAGGGCATGACTTCTTTATGTTAATAAGATACACAGGACAATTTTGTTCTGTGAACTAATTTTGAAATGCATATTTGGTTTATTTTCCACATTTTATTCCAACAGATACTAAGTGAACAATGCTGCTCATTTTATGTATGTTAAGATTACATTAGTAGTCCAGTAATAAACCGTTTCTTCCTCTAAAATATAGGGTTAATAATGTAAATAGGGTTAATAATGTCTCTCACCCTGAACAGATTTAAGAATTAAGTGAAATAATATTTACCCCCCCCAAAAAAACACTCAAAACCATTAAATACAGAACATATAAAGTGATATTGTTGGTAGCAGTACAATTATCATCATTGTTACCTTCTAATACTTGCCCTCACTCAGTGCTAATGGAAAAAAACACACAGTATTTTGAAGATGCTCACTTTGTAAATATGTCTAAAGTTGTTATAATGAGCATATTTAAATTGTAAAGATGATATATTCTTATACATTAATTTGAGATAGTTTTAAAATATCTCAATTAAATGGATATTTGGAAATATATTTATTTTTACTTTTAATATTTTGGTTTACATGTGTATGTAATTCATTTAATAATAGGAAGCAACATCCTAATGTGTTATGTAAGTAAAAGCAAGATTCCGTTGTATTCATTAGCACATGGATGAAAAAATGCAGTCAGAGAAGAAAGCAACTTAACGATAAGCCAAATCCAAACTGTGAGGTAACTAAGCAGCAAAATACTCTTTCACATTGGCCTATGAAGAATATCCAACTGCCCCTGCTGTGTATGTGTAAGCTCTGAGATCTCCATTAAATTGCATGTCTGTAAGTAGGTATAGATTCTCCAAGATGCATGGAGATAGCTATCTGTAGTAGTTTATTATAATTAATGTCTCTTTTGCTGAACTGCAGTGATAAGGACTGTATATCTACTATTGCCTATAATGAGTTACTCTTGTCCCTGCAGTACTACGGGATGACTTCAGACAAAATCCCTCTGATGTCATGGTGGCAGTGGGGGAGCCCGCAGTGATGGAGTGCCAGCCACCACGAGGCCATCCTGAACCCACCATTTCTTGGAAGAAAGATGGCTCTCCACTGGACGACAAAGATGAAAGGATAACTGTGAGTACCGAGTTCAGCAGTGGGGTCACTTCCAGAGTTCGCCGTATATCTCCACCAAAGAAAAAGAGAAAAGTGAAGTTTTTTTGTTTGGTTTTTTAAAATAAAAGGTTGAAATATCTCCCATTTTTATTTTTATTTTAAAATAAGTATATTTTAACCCTCCCTGTATTACCATGAAAATAAGTGAAGAAAATGAATGTCACTTAGTTTGAAGATTAGTAAAAGAAAAATATAATTTATGTGGTAATGTCTAAAAGTTAACCAATACATAGTTTTATGTATGACTTAATTATTATCATAACTCAGGGTATATCAAATTTCCATGTGTTACAGTAAAAGTTATTTTAAAAAATATCAGGTCATAGAGTATGTTTCCAGTAGGCCTTCTAAAAGTCACTTCCGGTTTTTTTTCTGTTTCTGCTTTTTAAATTGCTGTTCTGTTCTATAGAATAGTTCAATATTGTTTCTGAGCAATAAAATCTCATCTGAATGATGCCTAGTGATGGATGTACTCATTCCCAAAATAAAATCATGTGACTAGATAATTGGATTTAAAATTCTATTGTGATGTAAGCAAAATAGATCTGTAGTAAGTAATGATGCATTTTCCTCTGGCCATCAGTGATTCTCTGCGACTACTTTTTCTTTGCATTTTTGTATTGTGAAAGGTATTTACTAAGCCACCTGAATAACCAAGCTCTTGTTGACCCTATGATTGTACAGTATTTCTCTTTGGCATTTTCTTTGTTCTGCACACACTCTCTGTCCATTGTGAAGTCATTGGCCAAGTTACCCTGGAGAATCTGTGTGCTATACTTGTAGAAGAAGAAGGTTATAACACAGACCACATATTCCTAATAAATGCTTGCACTACTTATTTATAGATTAGCATGAGAATTAAGTAGTGAAGAAGGTAGAGGTGTTTATGGGAGACAAAGTTTTAGGGACCTTGAAAGAATATCAAGTGTTTTTCCTGTACTGAACTGAATAAAAATGAGTAACTCAAAGGGTTTTTATAATTTGAGGAATTGGGGTAAGAATAGCCTAGCTCCACTTTTAAGCATTCTTTTATAGTTCTACAACTATATGTGGAAACCTTGGTTTTGGGAAATGAAGTCAAGAGCACGGGAATGGAACAAATGTTTCTTTTATTACTATTAACAGATTCCTTTAGATTTATGCACAATCAAGATAATATTTTTTTTGAAAAAACATTTTAAGTCATTTAATGATAATTGCCTATAACTCTCATTTCTCTGACCTAATGATTCATACACACTAAAACCATTATCTTTCTCCCTCATGTCTTTCCTGGTGACCAATTTGTGTTTAATACAAATTAATGTTAAAGATTTCTGCATCGGTACCCAGCAGGTGTGGCTCAGCAGTTGAGCATCGAGCCAGGGACCAAGAGGCCACTGGTTCATTTCCCGATCAGGGCACATGCCCGGGTTGTGGGCTCGATCCCCTTTTGGGGGCGTGCAGGAGGCAGCTGATTGATGATGTTACTCATCATTAATGTTTCTATCTCTCTCCCTCTCCCCTTCTTCTCTCTCTCTAAAAAAAAAAATCAATAAAATAAAAATTTCAGCATTGGCGATGCAGCATTGAACTGCTCCCATTGAGTGCCCTTGTGGAGTTTATATTCTGTGACTGAGTATTCAGATAAAAATAAAATAGATGGTGTAACATATGGTACATTAGGCTATAGTAAGTTCTATAAACAATAAAGCAGTGAGGGGCTAGATAGGATTGGGAAGAATCTCAGTGTTTAATAGGATGACCAGAGAATGCTTCACATAAAGACCAGTAAAAAATTGAGGGAGGGAACTTTCCAGGCATCTGGGAAAGTGTTCTAAGTAGAACTAACTATAAGGTTAAAGATCCTATTGTAGGGCATACCTAATGGATTAAAGAAGGAGCACAGTGGATGGTGTGGATTGAGGAAAGTTGAGATTTGGAGCAGATGGCATCAGGGATAAAAACAAACCAGACTGCGTAGTACCTTACAGTCCTTGCAAATAGTTTGGCTTTTTCCCAAGAGATGTATAAAGCATCACGGGGTTTTAGCAGGATCCATGGAAGGGTGATAATGGCTGAAGTAGGGAGACAAGTTGGGAGCATTTTCCGTAATCTCCGCAAAAGGGAAATGGTGGTTTGGATCAGTCTGCTAGGAGGGGAGGGAGAGCAGTAGAGCCTGGATCTGCTGTGAAGCAACAGCTGTCAGGATCTGCTAACAGATTGAACGTGGCTTGTTAGAAAAAGAGGAGAGTCAAGGGTTACCTTTATGCATTGGTCCGAGCAGCAGAAAAGATAGAGCTGCTGTTAACTGAGCTGTCGTTAATGATAGAAAAAGGAGATTCGGGGTAGAAGTTATCAAGAGCTCAGTTTCAGACATTGTAATTTTGAAGTTCTTATTAGATATCCCCTACTGTCAAATAGGCAGTGGAAACATGAGTCAGAAATTCAGAGTTGAGGTTGAGGCTGGAGAAAAAATTGTGTTGTGGTGAATATAAGGAGTACTTATTGCTGTGCAATCCTCCCCTCCTTCTGGGCAGATGAAAGCCTTTGCTTCCCAGCGTCCTCGCTGTAGGGCAGACCACTCTGACTAGTTCAGCTTCATGGGCTGTGAGTGGAAATTAAAGATATTAAATACTAGTGAGGGAGCCTCCAGCACGCTCTTTTCCATGTGGCCTCCAAGGAGGCCACGTGTTCCAGGTAGTGAAGCTACAACAGGAAGGCCACCCAAAGAGCCTGGGCCCCAGAGTCATGTGTCCCAGAACTTTCCACTCCACATCTGGCTCCCCATGATGGACATGTAGAATGAATGAGAAATAAATTTTTCTTGTATTAAGTCACAGAGTAGTTCTTACCACAGCTCATTTTGAGGAATATGGGAATCATCAGCATGTACATATTATTGAAAATGGGAGAATGGAATTCACCAGAAAGCTTTTGGTTTGGGTGTGTGTGTTTTATTTTGCATCTGCATTTTTGTGACATTAACAGTTTAAAACCACTCTAATAAATTTTATTAAAATAAAAAATCTTGAAATATCCTTTTGTATCATATACTGAATTTGAATAAATGTTAAGATTTATGCATTAATGATTAAATTACTATAGGATCTTCATTTGCCTTTTGCTGTCTAAAGGGTGCTATCCTGTCAACACCAGTACCAGTTCCTCCACATATTAGTAGTTTTAGAGTCAATATTATAAGAAACACCACCAATTAGAAATAAAACAATTTAAAGTTGCAATATAACCTGTGACTATGAAATGATGCCAAGATGTTAATGTCTAAATAATTTTAAAATCGTTCAAATGATTCCAAAATGATGATTCACAATAGTGTTCCATATGCTAGGAAGTTGTAACATCTGAAACTTTTACTATTTCTAAGACCATCTGTGTGTTTTGTGTAAATTATGACTGTTAAACTGATAAAACACTAGAGGTAAAATGCACATTTATATATGCCAGGAAATTAATAGATTAAAAATCAGCAGTTTAGGTTTAAAATGACAGTATTTAGATCGTAATTGTTTTTGTTTTATTTTCTTCCTTTGGGCAAAATTAAAACTAATCAAAGGAAACACTTAAAATAGAAACAGAATACCCAATATTATTTCCATTTTTTTAATTGAAAATAAATTCTTAAGAGATGTTAGTTATTAGATATTTTATGTGAGTCTTCTTTCCTAAGGTTTGTTTTCATTTCTATTGTTCACGTACTTTGCCAAATGTGTTGAGTACAGACGAACAAGAGATTAAAGTCCATAATATCCTTATGAAAGGCAAGTGAAGATTGCATGGTTATTGCTACAGTTTTAGTTATAGGAATTTGTAGAGTTCTTTAATGTGGTGGCTTTCTTTGTTGAAAATTTAAAGTATGACTCTCCCAGCTGTGAGAACAAAGACACACCCTACAAAAAAGGGGAAATATGTAATTGAATTGTAGCTGCACCTGTATTTTTTGATGTTAAGTCATTTTTTTTTTTTACATTGACCTGGATTCTGAGACAAATTTTAGATCTATGATGATTACAAACCAGGGATATATAAATAGCATTTTCTTATTTTTCTACGTGAAGAAGAATCTTTTAGAACTCTTCTGGCACACATTTCTGAGAATAATTTGGAGACCTTAGATGATGTTTATCTTTTCTCTAAATGTAAGTATTTATATTTCGAGTTAGAATTAGAAGTAGTTTATTTAACTGGCAGGCTGGATTAAATAGATTTACTTCAGATGTCTGAGACTTAGTCATAACCATTGTTATTAATAAATGAAATTTTCTCATAAAGATATATCAGAGGACCAAAGACTTTTTTTTATATAGAATATTTAGATACACCTTACAAAAGTGATATACTTATTTTATTACATTACATTTTGGAAATATTGTACTGACCTTATTGTGTAAGGTTGTCAAAATTAGACTATTGAGAAGAAAAGTAATACCAGATATTGAAAAAAGAATTTCATGTTCAAAAATAAAACCTAACATTGTCCTTGAATTAATGAGAAAGTTAAATACAGTTGAAAGTTGGCATCACAAATACTTTCCCGTACTATAAAAGGCCTTAATTGCCGAAACCAGTTTGGCTCAGTGGATTGAGCGTCGGCCTACGGACTGAAAGGTCCCGGGTTCGATTTCGGTCAAGGGCATGTACCTGGGTTGTGGGCACATCCCCAGTAGGAGGTGTGCAGGAGGTGGCTGATCGATATTTCTCTCCCATCGATGTTTCTAACTATCTCTCTCTCCCTCTCTGTAAAAAATCAATACAATATATTTAAAAAATAAATAAAAGGCCTTAATTATATAAAAGGATTATGTTGAATTAAAATCTGACAGGTAGACCCAAAAAAGTCCAATAAAAGTTTCAGTATGATTTTTGGATTTCTGAATGGAATGAACAGTCATTGGTAATGAAGGAAGAGAAAGTTGCTGATGCCAAAACATTGTAAAAAGATGTTAAATTTATTTTCAAAT